GATAGATAGATAGATAGATAGATAGATAGATAGATAGATAGATAGATTATAGTATAATATAAACCATAATGGTAATATTTTTTAGACATATGCAAAATCTTAAATATGCTATATTTATAGATCCTCAAAAGCAGTATTCTTGTGTGAATAATTTATCTCAATTAAAACAAAAAGCTCCAAAGTATTTAAGCATCTCTCTGAGTTTTTGTTTGACATACTTTAACATATTCAGCCCAATTTAAGATGATTTTAAATTCAAATTATTGTAACAGTTACAATTCAATTAAAAGTTTTCAATGAGAGGAGAACACGTAACTATTTCTTTAGCTCTGTTTTGCATAATGTTAGCCTGTCCACACACACATATATTAATAAAATAATAGATCCGATTGTTCCCTTATTTATGAAAAGAGTCAGACATGGTAGAATGTTTCTTGAATAACCAGTTAAAATCTTGGCTGCTCTTGGGATTATCTGCTGTTGGATACAATGTCCAGATTCAAAATAAATATTTGAGCTTATTTTTCCCCTTAAAAAATATGATACACCCTAATTATTTGTAATACTGATGCAATTGTAGTGGAGATGAAAGTCAAGGACATCTAACTTTGCCTCTACATCATGAAGAATGAAAATAATTAAATAATAGCACAGTTTCCTTTCCCAAGAGTAATGCAAATATTGGAATGCTGATTTTCAGTAGAAAATGGTCATATTTTTTTTTACAAAGAGTTGCTGAATCTTGTGTGCATGTACAATACTGCTGATAGTATGATTATTTTCAGTCAGGAACACGAAATCATGACTGCCATATTTAATATTGAGTTAAAAGCTTGTGTGGCCTATTAATAGAAATATTAGAACTGTGGTTATTTTTTTTAGCTTTAAGTAGAACAGGAGTGTTGTTAGAGTTTTTCAGTGAATCAGACTGTTGCCTCACAGCAAGAGGGTTCTCGGTTCAAATCCCTGGGGACCCAGGGGCCTTTTTGTGTGGCGTTTGTATGTTAGCCCTGTGTCTGCATGGGTTCCCTCCCAGATATTCCAGCTTCCTCCAATTATCCAAAAACATGCATGTTAAGTTAAATGAAGATTCAAAATTGCCCCTAGAAATGAAGGTGAGTTTTATGGTTGTTTGTATCTGTGTGGCCCTGTGATGGACTGGCAACCTGTCCAGGGTGTACCCCACTTCCCACCTAATTTTTTGCAGTCTGCCTATTAATTATATAAAAGATCAAAAGAGAACGTATCATTTTTCACACATGGGCTAATAGAGAGTCACTGTGTGATCTTAAGCCACCGATTAATTTCAATTCCAATGTAGAATAGCATCTTATATTCAAAAGTTCAATATACTTCCTTAAGTTATTGTTTTAGTTAACCCCTCGAGTAATTTATTAAAATATCCATGGCTGTGTATGGGTGGCATTGTTAATCCCTAAATCAAGATTTTGTGGAAATAGGATCATTCTTTAATTATGTGGCTTGTCTTTTTTTCCATTTTAGGCCCAGGAGCACCTACTGTAATCCTGCACAGCCTCAATAATTCAAGTGAGCAACAGACACATAAGTCACTTTTTCGCCTTTGTGTTTAATTTATTTTCATGCAACCTGTGACTAATATCCTACAAATTACTCTTATTGTTACCGGTAACTGTTCTGTATTATCTGTTCATCCTCTGAGAATGTTTGAAGAGAATAATTTCTAAATCGGGAGTCACATTTATGAATTGTAAAGAAAATAGTGAGATTTGTGTTTTGGAGGGCAGAATGAACAAACTCTGGTGAACTCCGAAAATACACCACGCTCCAAATTATTGAGCACAGCAGAGTTTCAAAACATGTTGTGGGTTTTTAACCGTGTAAAATTGTTATTTGTTATATCTGCAGCATTAGGAGGTAATATTTACGGAAATCAAAAGCTATTTCAATCATAAACAATAACAGGTCAAGTTACATTATTTAAAAAATTACCCATTATTTGATGGCTGCATACAATTTTTAAATCCATTAAACTTGTGATTTCCTGCGTAGTATCTACTTTAATTTCTATGGAAGATGTCCAAACAGCCTACCTAGAACTGCTGTATGGATGATGTGTACTACTTTCAATCCAGATCTTTTGCTTGAAAATTTTCCAACATTTCTCAATAGAGTTTAGGACAGGAGAGGATGGGGGCCACACCATGCGTCTCTCTCCTCTCTGTTTCACCCACAGCAATAAACAATGTAGAAGTATTCCTTGCAGCTGGAGGGGCTAACCAGCTGGGATTCAAGCCCATTATGACTCCTCCAACTCATTGCAACATTGTTAAATCACAGTGGCCATCCCTAAACCAACTACTATTCCTTCCATCTGGAGTGCACAGCACTCATCATTGAATAGGACTGTGATGATTATTGTTCATGCATTTTAGTTTAGTTTAGGGTTAGGATGTCTACTGATAGCATGTAGGAACTGACATGTTCTATATACTGTAAGTAACCAGAGAGGGCACAAACAACTTTACAGCCAGAGCAAGGAAAACAAAATAGTCATGTTAAAGTTATTCTAATTTAGATCACGTGCAAAAACGGCTCAGGCAGGGAACTTCTGCAGAGGAACAACCTTTTGTCTGTCCCTAACACTGGCACTTATCTATATCAAATCTCAGAAGAGGATATTTACACTTCAAATACTGTTACATGATACATGGCTTGTAACAGTTTTGCAATTTTGGATTCTGTACACTGCTAGATCCATTGAGCACAGAGAAAGGTGCCTTTCCTTAAACTCAATCCCCAATGAATACACACAGCTTCCCCATAATAGTCTTTAACCATAGTTTTGTTCCCATCACTCTCAGGAAGGGCATAGAGTCTAGGGTTTTCCATCCCACCACTGGTAAGTGGTAAGTGTTATGGACCTACGGATAACAAGGACTTCAATGATGCCTGTACCCTTTATCTCTATTTATGTACCCAGTGACCAGCAGGTCCTGTGTACGCACAGCTGTCAGAACCTCCCAGAGTACCACTATCAAAGGTTGGCACAGTTGCTATATTTATCCACAGGTGCCACTGATGTTTCCCAGACTAGTGTTGTGCTGACATTATGACTACTCCAGGGTCTCAGTTGAGACTAATTTTGCATGAAGCAATCGTGCAAGATGATGCAAGGTAAATAAGTTGATGCCTACTAGAAGCATCTTGTTTAGCAGAGCAGCAGAGCCTGGAGGCAAAGCTAGTGAGATCTAGCAATTGTTGCTGGAACACTCTAATTGCAATAGTTCAAAGTGAACTATGTGTTGATTACAGAACCTTAAGCGAGTCTGGAGGGAGTTAAATGAAGCATTAGAGTATCCGTAAAAGTAAGAGTTGTGGCATGGACAGATTACAGTTGATATGTTGGTGCAAGCAACGGTGGTGATGAGAAATTGACAAGAAGGTTTGATTAGTTTGACAGGATAGGAGAGTGCAAGACTACTTGGACTGTCATCTAAAAGGAAAATAAAGAGTCTTAGTAGTGGAATGGGGAGCTGCACCCAGAGCCCTGAGTCCAGCCGTAGGATTCAGGACCTTTGAACATACCGCTGACTCAGACATAATTCCAGTGTTTGGGAGGGATGGAGAAAGATGCCAGCTGACCACCCTGTGCTGGCAAGTTCATTTATTGTACATAAGGGAAGACTTTAACTACTTAATCAATACTAACCTGTGATGAAGCACTCCTACTTATGTTGCGGTGAAAAGAGAAGTCAGACTCATGTTTACAACATTTGTTGGGAATTCATTAACACAAACAACATAGAAACATACTACATTGCGACATACACAGAATTCCCATCAACAGCTTGTGAGCTCCTCTTATGCCTCCTGATAACATGCCATATGTACATGGAAAAAAAATCCAATCTCTGGCTGGTACTGCTGTCTGATATTGGCAGAACATCTTCCATATTCATATAGACCGAGAACATTATGACCCTAAATAATGATTTTTTTTAGAAACATAAAGTTCTTTATCTCACAGAATACATGTCACTCACTTTATCTCACCACTATGTCCAATTGTAATGGGAATGGGGGATCAAAAATATTATTTTGAATGTTAAATATGCAACGCTTCCACTTTGTGCCAAATGATGTCCAAAGTAAAAAGATTGTGTCCCAAACCTAAATGTTACAGCATAATTATCTACAACGGCACTTCACAAGGACATGTCTTCAGCCTGATACTTCACATCTGGTCATCAACAACAGTGTTCCCTCCCAAATGGACAAGGTCATCCTAGAATTCTGCAGTAATAGGAGGCATCCCTTATGGGGATGAAGCTGGATTAAATCACATAATGTATTTAGCTCTTTTATCCCAAATTTGCCAACTAAGACCAAAAAACAATCCCCTTTTTATGCAGTCTAATCAGGATTTTGTATATAGATTAAGTAAAATATTGTATAAATATATCACCCCCATCTGTACAGATTACTACATCCTTGAGAACAATTCTTTGCTCAAGGCAGCCCTGAAATACAAAAGGATCCAGCTGACTGACTTCAGAACCGTTCCAGTGGAAAATTTTGGTGAGATGAAATAATTCTGCACTGATATTGTGATTCCTAGATGACTTGCAAGAGAGGTCCATGATCTTTTATTGTATTGTGTCTTCATTTACAGATTTACCTTTAAAGATCTCTTACCCACCGGACTTCTCTGATACCCGTCATTATGGATTACTATTGGTAGTGTACGTACCGCAGCATATGTAATGACTCAAAGGATATGTCCAGTGATGACCAACATGCAATTTTATAACATAAAATTCTTTTATCTCACAGGGTATAATTTTCTGACTGTACTTTTATCCAAGGACTAATACAGAACTTAAATTTTGTACCCTCCTGATATACTAATTCCTTGATATGAGTTCAATTTGAAGTTATTATGTTTCTGGAAAGGCTATTATAGTATAACTGCATGGTAAGTTTATAACTCCTCTTGAATATATATATATATATTCAAGTTTTCAATATTAAAGGCTGATTAAGTGTATAGAGCAATGCTAAAGACCAAAATTGAAATTTAATTAATTTTTTTTTTATTTTAATTAAATTGTTATTAAATGAAAGTAATTATGTATTAATGAAAGTAGAATTGTAAGCACACAGTCACAGGATGTATCAGCCATGACAAAGGATTTATATACATGAGCTTTTGTGATATAGAAATCGTTTAATGGACAATGTTTATAAGCATTCTCCAATATATAGCTGCCGTGAGCATTCCTTCCATCATGATTACATCTCAGTGACAAATTGCTCTAAACACAAGGTGACATTGTTTTCTCTCATTATAAATCACATTTGGCAAGAGTTGTAAATGTACCTTATCGTCCTTCACCACTGCCCACATTGTGTTTGTAATTCATCTCAGTTCATCTCATTGACTGGTGATTTTTTCAGGTGTTCCCTGTCTTCCAATGGAAGCTACATTAATAATAATAAAATTTTTGGTTGAATAAAAACTTAGCTGGCTAGTCAGACAATGCAGTACTTTCATGTCATCTGGTATACAATCATATGGCATTCTTTAATGCTATGCACTTATTGGTGTAGCAACCAATGAGTAAATATCGTCGTAATTCCATATCAATCCACAATGTGTGGCAGCTCAGTGTTTTCTGGAGATGACTATCTTAGTTTTTAAGAATTGAATCAGTCTTGTGGGATAGTTTAATGCCAAACAAAAAAGTGATCATTAGTGTTTATACTTTCCCAGGCTTTTTTACTGTGTCGTAGATGGTATTTGTGTATATGAGTGGCAGAATTTTACTCAGAGATTATAAGAAGCAGGACACTTGGATAGCATCAGGGATTATTTTTATTTGGGTGACAGTTTTCCCTGCTAAGGCTGTTTTTAAGTAGATATTAACCTATGGCCCTTGCCAGAAAACCATCTCTACACTCTTTAAAGGGGCCTTCAACACATTTAACACATAATATGACATGTTGTGGCATGCAATGGCTTAAAATCCTTGGTGTGAATTTAATTTCGTGTCATTTTTCAATTGTTTTGCACTTATGCTCCCTGATCGATGAAAAAAAAAAAGAAAGGATCAATTTACATAAGAGAGTAAAGCCATGTATTAACCATGGAAATAGCATTATTGTAACTAAATAATTATTTCAAGCGACACATTACCTCATTATGAATTTAGACATTACCATGATAACATTTAATAAGAGACTGTGTACATTTAAGTTACATTATTTATATTAAAAAAATTATATATTTATTTTTCTATTAACTGTGCATGCATTGTTCTTTAAATGAGTGATAAAGCAGATTTATGAGACATAAATCAAAAATAACCTCCTAATATTGTGTGTGCTTTTTTAGACTCATGCATCTCCTTCCTTTGTGCTTTAGTCAATGATAAAGTGGTCAGCTCCCATTGAATCAGTTAGCCATAATGAATAGACATCATTGCTGGTCACAAGAGGGGTTATTCTAAATTCAACTTTGCAACTGTTTTGATCTCCATTTTATGTAATGCCACTTGGTGTATTGTATATATGAATACATGCTTCTGTTTCTTAGAATAGGAGCCTTTTTTAATTAGATTTTTTGGATTTGATCAAATCTCACATTCTAAATTTAAATAATTTTCATCACAAATGTTTGATAAAAAACGGACTCACTAATGTACCGTATGTCCTCTTTACAGTGATAATACCCCTGGTGGTCAGACTGTGAGTGACCGTTTCTCTCTCAGCTGGGAATCTGTCCTTGTGAGTTCTGACAGTGTCATAGTGGCCCGTTTGGATGGTCGGGGCAGTGGCTTCCAGGGACAGAGGATCCTGCATGAGGTTCATCAAAGACTGGGAACTGTGGATGTTCAGGACCAGATAACAGCAGTAGAGTATGATATCATATTAACTTGTTATTATTTTTGCCATTTTCTATTTTTAAATAACACATTTCTCAAAATGTCACATAAGATTTGACAATTCCCTGTCACTCAAACTAAGAAAAAAGATTCAGTTACAACAAATTGATGTGACTATAAAATGATACCTTTCAAATAATTTAGAGAGGGGTTTAGAGGGGGTTTGAGTGTCCCAGTGATCCTAGGAGCTATGTTGTCCGGGGCTTCAAGCCCCTGGTAGGGTCACCCAAGGCAAACAGGTCCTAGGTGAGGGATCAGACGAAGCGCAGCCCAGAAGACCCTTATGAAGATAAATAATATTGGACTTAGTGTACCCTCGCCCGGGCGCGGGTCACCGGGGCCCCCCCCCTGGAGCCAGGCCCAGGGGCGGGGCACCATGGCGAGCGCCTGGTGGCCGGGCTTTCACCCATGGGGCCCGGCCGGGCCCAGCCCGAAGAGGTTACATGGGTCCCCCTTCGCACGGGCCCACCACCCGTGGGAGGGGCCATAGGGGTCGGGTGCAGTGTGCCCTGGGCGGCGGCCGGAGTCGGGGATCTTGGCAGACTGATCCCCGGCTGCAGAAGCTGGCTCTAGGGACGTGGAACGTCACCTCTCTGGCGGGGAAGGAGCCTGAGTTAGTGTGCGAGGCGGACAGATTCCGGCTGGACATCGTCGGTCTCGCCTCGACACACAGCTCTGGCTCTGGAACCAGCCTTCTCGAGAGGGGTTGGACGCTCTTCTACTCTGGCGTTGCCCAAGGTGAGAGGCGCAGAGCAGGAGTGGGCATACTCATTGCCCCCCATCTCGGTGCCTGTACGTTGGGGTTTACCCCAGTGAGCGAGAGGGTAGCATCCCTTCGCCTGCGGGTGGGGGGACGGGTCCTGACTGTCGTTTGTGCCTATGCGCCTAGCGGCAGCACAGAGTACCCGCCCTTTTTGGAGTCCTTAGAGGGGGTACTGGAGGGTGCCCCCTCTGGGGACTCCCTCGTTTTGCTGGGGGACTTCAACGCTCATGTGGGCAACGACAGTGAGACCTGGAGGGGCGTGGTTGGGAGGAATGGCCCCCCCAGCTTGAACCCGAGCGGTGTTCTGTTTTTGGACTTCTGTGCGCGGCACGGATTGTCCATAACGAACACCATGTTCAAACATAAGAGTGTCCATATGTGCACCTGGCACAAGGACACTCTAGGCCGCAGTTCAATGATCGACTTTGTTGTCGTTTCAGCTGATCTGCGGCCGCTTGTTTTGGACACTCGGGTCAAGAGGGGGGCGGAGCTTTCCACCGACCACTACCTGGTGGTGAGTTGGCTCCGATGGTGGGGGAGGATGCCGGTGAGACCCGGGAGGCCCAAACGTGTTGTGAGGGTCTGCTGGGAGCGCCTGGCGGAGTCCCCTGTTAGGCGGAGCTTTAACTCCCACCTCCGGGAGAGCTTCGAACACGTTCCGGGGGAGGCGGGGGACATTGAGTCTGAGTGGGCCGTGTTCCGCGCCTCCATTAATGACGCGGCCTCCCGGAGCTGCGGTCGCAGGGCTGTCGGTGCCTGTCGTGGCGGCAACCCTCGAACCCGCTGGTGGACACCGGCGGTGAGGGATGCCGTCAGGCTGAAGAAGGAGTCCTATCGGGCCTTTTTGGCCTGTGGGACTCCGGAGGCAGCCGATGTGTACCGGCAGTCCAAGCGACGTGCGGCTCGGGTGGTCGCCGAGGCAAAAACCCGGGCGTGGGAGGAGTTTGGGGAGGCCATGGAAAAAGACTTCCGTACGGCCTCGAGGCGATTCTGGTCCACCATCCGGCGTCTCGGGGGGGGAAGCAGTGCCCCACCAACACTGTTTACAGTGGGGATGGTGTGCTGTTGACCTCAACACGTGACGTTGTGGGTCGGTGGGCGGAGTACTTCGAGGACCTCCTCAATCCCACTGGCGCGTCCTCCGTTGGAGGGGCAGAGCCTGGGGATCCGGAGCTTGAATCTCTAATCTCCGGGGCTGAAGTCACCGAGGCAGTCAAAAAGCTCCGCGGTGGCAAGGCCCCGGGGGTGGATGAGATTCGGCCGGAGTTCCTCAAGGCTTTGGATGTTGTGGGGCTGCGTTGGCTAACGAGACTCTGCAACATCGCGTGGACATCAGGGGCAGTCCCGCTGGATTGGCAGACTGGGGTGGTGGTCCCCCTATTTAAAAAGGGGGACCGAAGGGTGTGTTCCAACTATAGGGGGATCACACTCTTAAGCCTCCCTGGGAAGGTCTATTCAGCGGTTCTGGAGAAGAGGGTCCGTCGGATAGTCGAGCCTCGGATCGAGGAGGAGCAGGGTGGTTTTCGTCCTGGCCGTGGAACGCTGGACCAGCTCTATACCCTCAGCGGGGTCCTAGAGGGTGCATGGGAGTTCGCTCAACCAGTCCACATGTGTTTTGTGGACTTGGAGAAGGCGTTCGACCGTGTCCCTCGGGTTATCCTGTGGGGGGTGCTCCGGGAGTATGGGGTACCTGGCCCTTTGTTACGGGCTGTTCGGTCCCTGTACGACCGGAGTCAGAGTCTGGTTCGCATTGCCGGTAGTAAGTCGGACTCGTTTCCGGTGGGAGTTGGACTCCGCCAAGGTTGCCCTATGTCTCCGGTCCTGTTCATAACTTTTATGGACAGGATTTCTAAGCGCAGCCGAGGTGTTGAGGGTGTCAGTCTTGGTGGCCTAAGGATCACATCTCTGCTTCTTGCAGATGATGTGGTCCTGTTGGCTCCATCAAGTCGGGACCTACAGCTCTCGCTGGAGCAGTTCGCAGCCGAGTGCGAAGCGGCTGGGATGAGGATCAGTGCCTCCAAGTCCGAGACCATGGTCTCTCACCGGAAAAGGGTAGAGTGCCTTCTCCGGGTCGGAGCGGACGTCCTCCCCCAAGTGGAGGAGTTCAAGTACCTCGGGGTCTTGTTCGCGAACGGGGGTAGGGAGCGGGAGATCGATAGGCGGATTGGTGCGGCGTCTGCAGTAATGCGGGCGCTGTACCGGTCTGTTGTGATGAAGAGAGAGCTGAGCCTAAAGGCGAAGCTCTCAATTTATCGGTCGATCTACGTTCCCACCCTCGTCTATGGTCACGAGCTTTGGGTAGTGACCGAAAGAACGAGATCGCGGATACAAGCGGCCGAAATGAGTTTCCTCCGCAGGGTGGCTGGGCTCTCCCTTAGAGATAGGGTGAGAAGCTCGGCCATCCGGGAGGGGCTCAGAGTAGAGCCGCTGCTCCTCCACGTGGAGAGGAGCCAGTTGAGGTGGCTCGGGCATCTGTTTAGGATGCCTCCTGGTCGCCTCCCTGGGGAGGTGTTCCGGGCTTGTCCCACCGGGAGAAGGCCCAGAGGAAGACCCAGGACCCGCTGGAGGGACTATGTGTCCCGGCTGGCCTGGGAACGCCTCGGAATCCCCCCGGAGGAGCTGGCTGAAGTGGCCGGGGAGAGGGAAGTCTGGATTTCCCTGCTCCGGCTGCTGCCCCCGCGACCCGACCCCGGATAAGCGGAGGACAATGGATGGATGGATGGATGGAAATAATTTAGAAAACTTAACCTTTCCAACATTGAAAGGAATCATTTGTCCTTCCAAGATTGATAATAAGGGTTATATTCAATTTGTAATAATTCATTCCAGATTGATGGACAAAATTTTCAAAAATATATGAGATTATTGCCGGTTATTTGTCATATCATCAAAACACGTATGAAAACTTTTGCTCTTCTATTCAGTCACATTTTATAATGATTGTTTAGTCAAGAGCATTTGGAACCATTTGGAACTTAACATCTAAATTCTTATGGAAACATAAAGATTGAACTTCGTTTTTTAGTCACAACTGTAACATGTAACATGTTACATCTTAAGTATACAGTGACTGTATACCTATGTGAGATTGTGTGTTTAGAAAATTTTTCAGAGAGATGGAAAACATTACACAAAAATGTTTAGGAATATGATCAACCTGTAAAATAGTTACATTGTACCGATTCAAAATACTCCCTTTGACAATATTTTCTGTCTTAATGAACATAGTTTGAGCCATAGTCTATGTGTTATTTGTGTGTTTTTTTTCAGATACATGTTGAAATTTCCATATATTGATCGGACACGGATAGCAGTGTTCGGAAAGGTACGGCAATATGCCAGTTCTCTTTAACTGTGATATACTCTGTGCATGCTTTGGAGGATACATTTTTTTGTTTAAACTAATTAAATTATTTCTGATGTGTTGGAATACCTTTCATTAAATTTAACGGAAGCATTTTACACATTGTTGGACAAGCTGTCCAAGAGCTTGAACAAAGTATCTCTTTCCTTTGTCAGGGTTACGGAGCATACTTAATATTAATGATGCTCAAGTCTACCGACAGCCTCTTTAAATGTGCTTGTGTAATGACACCAGTGACAGACTGGAAACTCTATGGTGAGTACAAAATTAGCCTCAAACATACCTCAGACAAATACATTTAGTAAATACATGTATGAGTGATAGCAGAGTACAGTATCAGTAGTAGTCAGCACTGTTATAGATGAAGTAGATGTAAGCCTTCAATGCCAGAGATCCAGTCTACTTCTAATACAAAGTGCTTAATTAGAGGTTACTCATTCTGGTAACTAAACATGCACCCTGAGTTAATAAAATACAATAACATACTAAGATGTAAAAATGATTTTACCCTCACAAACCAATTTACTAACAATACAAAATATAAATTCAGAAAGAGACAGATTCAATTTTGTTCAGGTGCTTACCTGCAGTTTATTGTCCAGTTGCTTCACCATCCACAGTGTATCATATAATTTCCACAGCATCAGCCGTGTCCGAACGATATCTCGGTATGCCAGTGCGAGATGACAGCAGATATCAGGTTTGTGTCTTCTCATCCTTATGCCTGTTTGTGGTTGGGCTTTGAATTGAGAACAGAATTCAGTCATTAATGTCTGTAGTAACTGTATACACTCCCGTTTTCAGATTTTTTAGGGCACTGCAGTTGGGAAGTCATCGAGTTATATATTATTGCTTGTACTATTAAGGATGTGATGCAGATTAGATTGTATGTAAATGCACAAACAAGCAACAAATTTGGGCCCTACAGCATCATCTCTTATATGCAGCTTGGCATATTACACAGGATTTTGATCCTTATAATTCATTATCATCCTAGAAATAATCTAATTTGAATGTATCTACTTTTAATTGCCCATGTAAGAGGTACGGTAATTTCCCACAGTGTGTAAATTTGGTTAATTTTTTATAACATTTTTCAATGCCAATTAATGCATTTTTGTTGACTCACTATTGACTCACTATTTCTAATTTACTTGCAGTTTTCCAGTTTACTACAGAATATTCAAGCTCTTCGAGATCAGACACTTATGTTGGTCCATGGTACAGCAGATGGTGAGAGAAAATAAGTCATAGATAAGTCAAAATACCACTGCTGAGGATCAAGCAGAAGCTGGATTAGTCATAAGCAAATGTCCAAGCATTGTTATAAATATTCTGAAAAATGATTAATTAAAGTTATTACCTACAGAGTAACACTGACGAAAGACAGAGGCCAATAACTAAAACCAGTGAATGCCAAATTTGTTTAAATATTCCCATGCTCCTAGAACTTAATGGATGATCTTTTTTCTGGTAATTGTTCTAGCTCAATGGTATTGATGTGTTGATTTCTGTCTTCATAGCAAACATCCACTTTCAACATACGGCTGAACTTGTCAAGAACCTTGTGAAAATTGGAGCAAACTACTCAATGCAGGTGTGTAATATACTTATACTTATATATAACTTATCACATATTTTCAAGCTCTTTTTTTTGCTATTTTGAGCTATAGGTATGGCATTTTTGCCAAAAAAAAGACCACCTGCTCGATGCAAGATGCTGAGAATGAACAAATATGTTACATTTGTTTGACATCAATGAAATGAAAGACTTTTTTTCTTTAAATAAAGCTCAATATAGTTTAGAGGAGCAGTTCATATTTTATAACCAGGCTGATCTGAGAAATACTCTAAACCCTTTAGATATACCCAGATGAGGGCCACTTCCTGTCTCGGCAGAGTCTCCAACACCTATACGCCACATTGGTCAGCTTCTACAGGGACTGTCTGAAAGAAACACTGCTACCGTTGCCTGATGAAGATGAGGAAGAGGAGGAGTAAACAGAAGGCTTTGAGGATCAGACCTTTGAAAACCTTGAAGAATTGTACTGAAATTCATCCAGACCTTTTGCATTTGAATCAAGTGTGAAGCTAGATGTGGACCTGGGGAGCTGCTTGTGCTATTAAGTTTGTGAGAGTGTTTGTGTGTACTAGCACTCCATTGTGCAATAGTATATATTTGCATAAGTGTGTTAGAAAAAAGGGGAAGGACACAAAAGCACTTGCATTGCCAGGACTTTATTTAGACCTGCCCTCTAGCACAATTGAATAATACTTTGGGACATTCACTTTTGGTTTCTTTCAAAGCACATGGAAGACTGCTGTCATCACTCATAGGGTCTCTGGACTAGTCATCCTCACTTTTACAAGTGCATGGTCCCTACCTGCCTTTTGACATCACAAATGTTTTCCATGTTCGTATCTTTTGCAGCTGTGCATGGGAAGAGAATAACACAGATGTAAAAGTTTTATTTCATGTATCCTTTGGTTGTTATATAGTTGCAAATGTAACAAGCTCACTGCAATCCAAGTTGATCTTGAAGAACTGCAATTTCCAGCCGATAATCATCACGACTTCAATGGAAAGAAGCTTAAGGAGGTTGCGCAGGATTATTTTACATGATTGTTGAAAAGACATTTACAATGCTGTCTATAGTTTTATTTACTGTAATAATTTTTGTTGCGAGCAGTAATGATTCATAAGCTCTATCATCTTAACCTCTGTAGACTCAGGCCCTCCAGACTCATCCCAGTCAGTTTAGAAACAGTTAGTTTCTAATTTAATATATGCCCTCTCAAAATAATTGATGAACTCTCTAAGAATATTTTTCAGAGGTGTTATGGTGTTTTCCAGAACACTTTTCCCAGATTAAAGACACCTTTCCTTTTCACCATGCACTGATTAAAACAACAAGATAACAGGGAAATTGACAGTTTTACAGTGTCAGTAAAGTTGTTGCATGTGTACAACAGGGACAGATTCCAGGGTTGCCCTATTTTGTACAGCACAATACAGCAGAGTGTGTACAGACATTTATTTTGTAGATGTGCGAACTTAGTTGACTATTGGAATCAACCGATTAGACCTGGATTTCTTGAATTTATGTTTCCTTTAGGTTTTCGCTCTTTCTATTATTTCTTTTTATTTCTTTTTGAGGTTTCGATCTTCCTTGTAGAATCTATCTAAGAACTTCTATCTTAGTTATGTTTAATATTTTGAAAGGAAGTGATAGGTCCAAGGTTTTTCGGGCATTATGATTGTCTTCTAGTGATGATCATAAATGAATTAATAAAATAATGAAAAACTGTTGGTAATGCCAATATGTGTAGCACAAAACCAAAGTGACTGCTGTTATTTGCACTTACTGATAAATATAATGTTTGATCCTTCTTTTTTAATCACATAGTGCTTATTTTCAGCTTGGAAGTCTCAGAGAAGTTAGACTGACCTGCGCCAGTTGGAAAAATGTGCGCGTTCGAAGTTAAACATTGCTTTAGCACAGTCGCACAACTAATTGTTTGACTGAATTGCCAGGTGATTCCCATGGCCAAAGGGGCCAGGGGATGTCTGTGGGCCTAAGTTGAAAGATTTGAGTGAATTTTGTTTTCTATTTACAAGTGCACTTGAGTTTTAGTTTTTTGTTTTTCTCATTTTCTTTCCACGTTTTCACATATTCTGAAATTCCACTTGTATATAAAAAAAATTATGAGAAAACAAAACCAACATGACAGCTGAAAAGAAGAGCAAATTACAAGACATGTTCAAATTGTATGTGTTATATTTCAGAGGGAAATATTGCTGCCCATAGAATTGATGTAAAACAGAAGGTGCAAAAGAAATATACAGTGACCATTGTGTTTTAATAGTCAATGCTTTCTCAACTGAGAAAGTTGGATAACTACAGTATATGCCCATGTGCATGAGGGCTGTTGATGTATTTTTAAGTTAGCATAGCTTAAGGTCTTGAAACAAATGAAAAGAAATTGCCTAGTTCTGCCCTGACAGCAATCTGTCTAACAGGAGCTAACATGCCAGATCCTATTGGTTTGATACTGACAGAGATCAGGTGCTTTCACAGAGACTTATGATGTCGTCAAAAAGAAAAAGATTATAGGTCACATTATCTCTTACAACCCATGCTACCTTGATTCTCACAGCATACAGTTATTTTCAGTAATACAATTTCAAATAAATAAATAAATACATTTCAAATAAAACTAATCAATTCTGTAACTGACCCAGGCATTTCATTTATTGATAGTAATCTGAAGTGACTTGATGGATATGTTTAATTGTCAGCTGCATGTTCGTTCTTTTTTGTAGAATAAAATCAAGATTAGAATACGCACTGCGTAATTAGTATACAAATATGAAACCATACTACAATTATTTTAAAACTATTATAAATCTATAATCTTTTTAATGAACTACAAAGATGCAATATTTAACATTCAATCTCATAAACTTGATTGTTTCTTGCAAAGATTTGTATACTTTTATTGGGGTTTTTTCAGCACATTAAAAAAAAGCTGGGATAAGAGCACCAATAAATTAGAGGAACTGAAAATGTCAAGGAATGCCCACAAAACACTGGCTTGGACCAAATTCCATGCAACCAGCTTATTTGGAAACATGTGAATGTCATGATTTGGTGTGCACAAGAAAATGTTCCAACAGTTTAGGACTGTTTGTCAATGTACAATTGGAAGGAATCTAAGGATTTAATCATCAACTGTTCGTAATATCTTAAAATGAAACAGACAATGCGGAGAGAGTCTGTAAATCAATACTGTATCCCTGTGACCCGTGGTCCCATTGTATTTTAAGCTCTCTGGAAGTTCCCAATTGGTCAGGTTCTGACACCGCCCCAGGTCAATGTAGTTGCTAGCTTCAAAGTCACTTTAAGTTTGAACAAAATTCTCACATTTGGTCACACGGAGCAGTTTTTCTCAAGGACAACCCAAAGAACAGAAATGGCAGAAAACCAACAGTTAATTTAACTGTAAATGAAGTGGGAAGAATTGCTTATGAGCTCAAATCATGCCAATCAGTCTCCACCCTTTGAAAACTCTCTGGTCTTTATATAAGTGAATGAATAGGTGTGAGACACTGTGTTTCCCCCAAAAGATGTCTTGACAAATTCATCTTTTTAGGACATCAAGATAGTGAAGGTCTTTATTACATGAGAGGTTTAGGCAAATCATTCTCTGTTTATAGTGTTGTATGTTGGGGGCAGGATGTTTTCCAAAGCACCAGCAGCCTTTCCATGCTCAGATATAGGCCGAAATCATGCTGACATGACCTGGTCAGAAGTTGCTCGGAGGGGGTTGCTTAGATCCATGGATGTTTGTGGTGGGGGATAAAAGGGACGAGGAGGGTGTGTGTGTGTATGGGGGGGGGGTCAAGATAATTAGATTAGAACATTTTGATGAAGAGGTAGTTAAGTTCATTGACTCTATCGAGGCTGTCATACATCATACTTTTGCCTCATATTCACACCACAACTGGAAATCTCCAGCATTCCACCACAAACATCCCTCAAATTTTTCTCCTGCAGTTCTTAAACACTCCCTTTTGTTTCACTTTGTGCTGCACACAAAACCTTTACAAATGATCCAGAACGTGGCGGCGTATCTGGTCTTCAATCAGACCAAAATGTCTCATGTCACCCTTCTGTTCATTGAGCTTCACTGGTTACCCCTGACTACCCGTATCAAATTTAAGTCCCTGATTCTAGCCTACAAAGTGCTTAAGGGTAGGCACCCATCTACTTGAATCTTCTTGCAAAGGCTTATGTCACAATTCGGTCATTAATGGATTGTCGTCTAGCAGTGCTTACTCCACGATAAAGACAAACCAGACTCATGTGTTGTTCCAAGATGGTGGAATGACCTACCAAGTGCTACAAGAACAGCAGTGTCCCTGTCTATCTTAAATAAACTCTTAAAGACCCCCCTCTTCAAAGAGCATCTCCTATCCCAACTCTTACCCATACCGCTGTACCCCCTCTACTACTCTTTCTGTACTTCCCTCTATCTCTTCGCTGTCACCACTGACTCTTATTAGGGATTTTCCTCTAGAGCTTATTGTCATATTGACAACTGTAACATTGTGTCCACTTTGTAAAACGCTTTGGATAAAAGCGTCTGCTAAATGCATAAACTTAACAATTAGGAAAATATAAATATTTATGAATGGTGTAGTGTCTGATGCTCACAATTAAGGACAGACTATTATGTTCATGGAGCATAAATATTTGAGACAACATATTTCTAAAGTACAGTATAGGGAGGATGTTCAAGTTTTGTATGAAATATATTCTCGCTGTACGACGGGATGGAGACGGCCTGGCAGAGGACAAAAAAGGAGATGTTCATGATATGGACAAAATCTATTCTAGATGTATGTCTAAATGGAGATGGCCTGGCGGATGACAATAAAGGAAATGTTTATGATATGGATAAAACCATAATCGGGCTGCACACCTTGATGAAAACAGCCTGATGTAAGACAAAAGGTACAGCTACAGGATGACCAAATATAAGGGCAGGCGCATTCAGAGTTAGGCAAGTTTTCTCTGATCTGACATCGGGTAATGAGACCTCTCCAGACTTTATGCATCAATCTGTACTTCTGACAGAGACCTGCCTGACAATTTAATCCTTTTTGTTCGACCAAGTCTGCCTCAGCAGTTTTACCTGCGGCACCTTCACTTGAACTATTTGAAGACGACCATCCCATAATTCGCGTCAATAGTAATTTTAATTTTCATATAAACGTTATTCATTTGAACGTTACACAGAACTGACGTCTGTCCTACTGTAGCTGATATTACATATAAATGGAAAAATAACATTCTTCGTATCAAAATAGGCAGAAAAATTATATTAGAGCTGCACTTTCATTGGTATTAAATTTCTTAATATATACCCGATAAATTTTTAACCCTTTACTTTCGTGCCTACGCTCTATTTTGTGACGCCTTTGCTTCCCGCTACTCAGTTTTAAAACATGGCATTTCCGGGCCGCCAGTACTGTATTTTGTGCTGCGTTCCCAGCAGTAAGACATTGCAAATGTATGCACGCAAACGTGCAATTGGCTGTAACCTTTCTTTGAATTTGGTGCTGCAAATTAGGGTGGTTACAGCGGTTTTTGTTTCAGGGTGAAAGTTGCCTCCCCAGTAGATCCACCCATGGTTATAGCAGAACTACATGGCTGTTCCAGTGCATTTAGTTGTTATACGGGTTTAGTATTTTTGGCACGTCTAGGCTGCTGTAGTTAAAGTGAGATTTGTAATATGTGGTTCATCCACATGATGGCAGCAAACCCCTAGGTGTCCCAGTGTTCCTACACGGCAACACAATAGTACAGAAGAAGTGTCCGGCACAACAGATAGGCAGCATCATGCCTATTGCTGTGATTATGGAGGAAAATTTTGATAAATTATTAGAACAATGCGAAGCTCAAGAACTTGAGGTTAGTAGTGAATCTCTAAATATATATATTTTTTGTCTCAGCGTAGAACGTATTAGAGTCGTCGTGTTAGTAATGCTGCTTGTTACTTTTTGAGCATTTTAAGCTAGCATTAATGCTGAATAAGATTCCAAACGGTGAAACTCACTGAGTTATCATAGATAGATTTTCTGCAGTATACCATATGAATTTCTGCGGATGTAACTGAAAGACCAGACGGTCGTTAATGAATGCTAACTTCTACAAATAGATTAGTCTAGGGTCGAGAACTTGGTAGCCCTTGTCTTATCTGTTTATAAGTAAGTAGGTATTTTTTTTAAAGCCTCAACGACGTACTGCATGTGTTTCTAGTCGTTGAGGCTTTTCAAACCAAGTCAACTGATTATCGACCGGCCAACCTTTTTACTGCGGGTCATTTCATTAAATTCAGTAATAATGTTAGAAAAAGGGTCCATGTAGCGCTAGCTGAACCAGAAGAACATGCTAGACAGCTGGAGGGTAGTTTCAGACCGTATATCTTTAATGTCGAAACATTCAACATTCTCTGTAAGCGACAGATCATTGCCGGCTGTTGATTGCATCAAAACTGAATTATTATCCAATCGAGCTTTAATATTAAATCATGCACATGCATTTTCTAGGCTCCAGGCGGCATTGCAACACCTCAAGTTTATGCTCAACTGCTGGCCCTCTATTTACTCAATAATGACATGTAAGTCAAATGTATCCCTTTACACTATTGTATTTTCATCATGATGGTTAATTCTTTATTTTAATTTTGAATTATCTTGTTTATGATTGGCTATGTTATGATTCTGGTTCAACAGGAATAATGCCAGGTATGTATGGAAAAGGATTCCACAGGCAATAAAATCGGTAAGTTTGTTGAATCATATGTAGACAATGAATATTACATTATTTACATTGCATTGTATGTAGTGTCTTGCCAACACTGTTTTGTGGGAAGGTGAACATATGCTGGGTCTGAATAAGAAAGCATGTGGTTATTTTTCAATTAATTATTATCCTTATCAGATTGATACTTTTTTCCCACCAGTACTAGACATCACTTGACTTCGGTCATTTTCCATTACAAGCGTACACCACTTCTGTGTGTACGCTTGTATGCACTATAAATGCATCACAACAATGAAGGCTTTTTTAAAATTACCATGGGTTCTTGCGAGGTCACTATACTCTTTGAACCATGACTCATCTAGTGACCTAACTTCCTTGCCAACTGGTGGCCTGCACGTTCTTTCAAAAGCACATTAATATGCTGAGAAAACAGGTTTGCACAAACTAAATGTGCACTCCAAGAGCCTCTGAAAAATAACTAAAAAGTGAATATTTAAAGGCTTCATTTATAAACATTTTCATCTGAATGCACCTTACCTTTTTAGGCTTGCTGGTGTATAACATGAAGCCCTGCTGGTTACAAATTAGTGCGATAGAGGCAATATTACTTACACATAACTGTAACAGTTATGTTAACAAATAAACTAAGCCATGTGGTGCTGAGATAATGTCACATAATACCTTTTTTGATCAGAGGAAATAGTTGTGCCAGGGTTTCAATTAAAATAGTCATGCACAAGGAATAACACTAAATAAATAAGATAACATACTAATTTTAAATAAGAGTACCAAAAAAGCCATAGTACTAATAATACTAACAATAAAAGTAACAGGCCATAAAATATCAAGTGTACAGCAGATAAACTGGCAGGCAGCCAGAATGAATGGTCCCATTTTTATTAATGATCTTATGGAATGATGATACTTGTGCATTTATCTTAATTTGCCACATTAATTTTCTCCACAACATAACGAGCAGTATGGTTATGAATTTGAAACAATTTTAAAGCTTGTATTTTGTGTACTGTTAGACACTTTTTTCAAAGGCACCAAAGTAGACATTTAATTTCCCTGTGGTTAGTTTTCGAACAACAATTTTTTTTTTTTTTAAGTGGGAACTTCTGTGACATAAGCCCTGTCCACTCTTCTGTACCTCAGTGTTGAACAGCAGTGATTGATGTCCTGCATCCACATAAACTGTTATCAAACCCAGGAAATGCCATATACTTTGTATTCGTGTAAATTTAATTTTGACAATCTCTTCAGATTAAACACCAGTCGTTTTTTGGTGCTCTATGCATCCCTGGTGAACAACCACACTGATATGGAATATTGTCATCATGGATGATAATTTCAGACAAGTGAAAAGGATTGGGGTCACACAAAGAATCGATTATATGTCAAATATGCTCTCGATTTATTGCACTCATCTTGATCAGTTAAAGGATAGGTGTACAGCATATACACATTTCAACATTTAACTACATTTCAGGTCGTCATTAAGGCTTCAAGCTGAACTAACATTATTCATTATCAAAATCTAGTGTCTGCGCAGTGATTTCAGCATGACAATTTCGTCTTTTCTAAGTCTAGCATACTGAAGTCTTCCTTGTTGCATATTTAGGCAAACCCTGAATTAACAGCTGTTTGGGCCGTTGGCCAGCACATCTGGCAGAGAGACTTTCCAGGTATCTACGCCGCCATAGCAGCTCACCAATGGTCCGAGAATATTCTTCCAGTCATGGAGGCCCTTCAAGGTAAAAACCATGACCCACACTCTTTGATATTGAATTTAACAGATTAATGTCATTATTGTTTGACCTCTCCGGAAAACAATTTCATATTATTTGGGGGACATCAGATGAGCAGTTTTGTGACTACCTGTCAAAAAATGTCTATATCATGGTTAAAGCAAAGTACTTGTTTTGAATCTCTATTAAAGTTAAGATGTCCTTGATAACAGTGTCATACATCAGAGACATTATTTTCTAGAATTCACCTATCAAATTCACAATTGTGGCATTTCTATCATGTGATGATTGTGCAAGAGTTTAAGAATAGCTTGTCCCGATGTTTACAGAGCAACATGTTGATCTGCCGACAACTATGTTGTAAGCAGTGTCGGGGAATAACGGATTACATGTAACGACGTTACGTAATTTAATTACAAAAAAAGAGTAACTGTAATTCGTTACAGTTACAATGAGAAAATATGTAATTCAGTTACAAAATATTAAGAATTACAAATTTAGTTACATTTTTTTTTAAATATAAAGAAAAACCTTTGCAAAATATGCAACTCACTGATAGACGAAGCATATTGATTTACTAATATTTGACCGTTTGGTGTTGATGCATGAGAAACGTTTATCGATGTCTATGACCTAGCATAGCCTAGACTACCTAGCCTACCCAACTGTAGGTTACATTTTTTTTAAAATATAAAGAAAAACCTTTGCAAAATTTGCAACTCACTGATAGACGAAGCGTATTGATTTACTAATATTTTGACTGTTTGGTGTTGATGCATGACAAACCTTTATCGATGTCTATGACCTAGCCTAGCCTAGCCTACCTAGCCTACCCAACTGTAGGGTGACAGGACGTCCTCTTTTTCACGGACATGTCCTACATTTCAGACTAGGGTTGTGAAAAGTATCGATATTTAAAAAAGTATAGATACTAAAATGTTGTATCCGGATACGACTGACCTGCCGTCGCTTGTCTCTGATTTGTTTACGTTGTTTATGATCATTAACAAGACGTTAGCTAGCTGCGGCCAATAGCTAATAATAACATGCTAAAATTAATCATGGGTCAATACTCATTAAAACCTTAAAGTAATCAAAAAGTAATCAAAAGTAACTAGTTACATTACTTTTTTTAAATAATTGAAAAAGTTACACTACAATTACATTTTAAACAAGGTAACTTGTAACTGTAACTGATTACATTTTTAAAGTAACTTACCCAACACTGGTTGTAAGGCACATGAATAACAACTGGTGATTACATTTTATTAGTCTAAAGAATGACATGTTTTAAATTATTTTAAATGAGATATTTAGAATGATTGAACCAAAAATGCTTGAAATGACTTTGACAAAGTTTCGTTAATGCAATATTTAATGTTTGTTTCTTAAAGTAGTGGGTATTTACTTGATACCTTTTTTTTTATTGCGCAAGACCAAGTTTCAAGTGGAAGTATTGTATATATAAAAAAAAAGGCAAATTAATCTAAAAGTCAGTCAAAAGTTTTTACGAGTTAACTCTTGGTTTCGTGGTATCTAATAGTGTAACTGAAATGGGTAACAAACGCTGAAAATGACAACAATAAATAAATCAGAGAAACATCATCTTGACATTTACTTGTTTACCAGAAGGACTGAGCCCCATGTTTCATTTGGGGTTGTGTCACATGTGCCATGTTTGTCTCGGATCAGACTTGAATCTGTTCAAGAGGACACAGGGCACACCAAGCCATGTGACATATTTAGCAGCGAGTTGGAGGGGGCCATTCTGTGAAAAGGTCCCCGACTATCAATATGGAATGCATGCTCTTGTTGGTGAGGATCAAGTGTCACAAGCTGTGGGGGCTGGTATAAATGAGAGAGCTCTGTGCTTTTGAGCAGAGCAGGAATCAACACTTCACCCCACTGCACACATCAAGGAGAGAAATTGTTCAACTTTGCTAACGATCTGAGATATTTTGAAAGAAAAGAAAAAAATATTGGCTATGGATGTCCAGAGGACAGGATCTGTGGTTCGACCCCCAAGCCCCATGGATAGCCTGGAGAAGCAGCTGAGCTGTCCCATTTGCCTGGACATGTTCACCAAGCCTGTGGTCATCTTGCCCTGCCAACACAACCTTTGCCGCAGTTGTGCCAGCGACCTCTACGACTCGCGCAACCCATACCGTTTTTCAGGGGGTGTCTTTCGCTGCCCTACTTGTCGCTTTGAAGTTGTGCTCGACCGACACGGTGTTCATGGCCTTCAGCGCAACCTCTTGGTGGAAAATATCATCGACCTTTATAAGCAGCAGCAAGAGGTCACTAACAGTGGAAACACAGAAACCAGCCTGAAAACTAAAGAATCAAAAGAGCCCCTATGCCAAGAACATGATGATGAGAGAATCAACATCTACTGTGTGACCTGCCAAGTACCCACATGCTCTATGTGCAAAGTGTTTGGCCAGCACAAAGACTGCGAGGTCGCACCTCTAGCAAGTGTTTATCAGACCCAGAAAGGTGAGCTGAGTAATGCTATTGATTCTTTGGTAGCTAGCAATGGACGTTTGCAGGCTTTGCTGAACCAGATGGAAGATACCTGCCGTACCGTACAAGAAAATGCTCAGCGCGCAAAGCAAGGGCTTGCCGAACGCTTCGATCTCTTATATGCTGTTTTAGAGGAGCGCAAGACTGTTCTACTCGAGCAGATTGCCAAAGAGCAGGACGAAAAGGAGGCGGCTTTGCACTCCCTTGCTGAACGTTACACCGAACGGCTGCAAGCCAGTTCAGAGCTCACAGACACTGCTGTGAGGGCTTTGGAACAGAGCGGAGCTGCTGAGTTTCTGTTGGCTTCAAAAGGTCTTATCACACAGACCAAAGATGCAGCCAAGTCTTCGCTAGGTGAGGAGCGGCCAGAACCTGGCTTTGAGAAGATGGACCACTTCACTTTGTCTACAGAGCACGTCGAAGCAGTCCTGGCCAAAATGGACTTTGGAATTGGTGATGACAATGAATTTGAAGACGCAGAGGAGGAGGAAGAGTAATCCCATCTGAAGTTAGATATCGTGATAATATTCTGTTTGTTCGTTTTTATTATTAGTTTCTTCTTCAGGATTCTGAATTTGATATTGAATAAGATATAAGGGTTTCTATCAGCATTATTTCTGTCAATGTTTATCTTTAATCTGATGTTCTTTTCATTTCTGAACTTTTATACTTTTGTAATGCAAAGAAATGTAAGTAGAAATATGGATGTCATGTAAACACAGAACGTCGGCACATTTTTTGGGATATTTCCCCCATGTAAAAATACCTGTTTTGTTTTTCATGCTGTTATTTTAGAAACCGACAACATGTTATCAATTTTGTGAAATAAAATTGTGTGAAGTCAAGCAAGGGTTCTTGTGATGTCAAATTGAATTACTCTTGTATCAAGAGGCGAGCACAGAGCAGAAAACAGCCATGGCTTCATTCTGTTATTTTGGTTGCATGGATTTCCCCTTGAGTGCTTCCGCTGAGGTCTGATCATCTCAACTTGGCAGCTGACAGTTTTAAAAATAAAAACCCTTGCTGTGTCCTGTCAGCTTTTCCTTTACTGGCAAAAAGCTGGAGCTATTTTTAAGAGGTGAGAGGGTGATAGATGATAGCAGCTCTGGAATAGACTGTCAAGCAAGGACAGGCTGGGTCTTGTTTCTGCTCCATAAAACTTCGGTCATCTTGCTCAGTATCTCAAACCTAATTCTTAAGTGTCAGAGGGCAATGGCTAAGATAAGGCCAGTCCACTGTCAACACAGGTCATCTTGTATCGGTCAAGAGGGAAAAAATAAAAAAAGAGAGTGGAGAGGGAAATAAAGTCTACGTGAGAATTAAGTAACAAAATCCTTTTAAAGTGTCCTAGTTGTCCGGGTCAGGAGACATGGAGCTCAAAGCATAGAGCCAGATGTCATACGTGAAGAAAGAGATTTAAAAACAAACTTAAGTTACATTCTAATTAGTGTGTCATTTTTAAATTCTCCTAATGCAAGCAACATACAATGTTGATATTCATCATACTTTGAAGCATTGAGAAAACAGGAACTCTTTGATTTCAGAATAAGGAAATTTCGCTTAACAAATTGTTACCTTTCCACTACAAAGCTATTTTTTTCTATCCCATTTGTCTGCGTTACTGCTGCTAACTGTTCAGCAGTTATGTGTCAGCACACATAACCAGTTGCATGGCTATAAAACACCAAAGGCCATAACTCTAAGGTATTTATGCAATAATAGCAGCAGTCTGCTTGGGTTTCTGCAAGGACTTTTTTCCCTCCATGTCATCTAAACAATCGCTGAATGAAATATGAATATACTAATACAGCCAAACTGTGAAACTGCTCAATTTGAAGGCGCTTTGAAGTAAACATTTGGTATGACTGTTTATTCTTCAAGACGGCCTGAAACCACAAATTATATTTGTCAATTCTTTAGTAGCCTTCAGGATTAGTTCTCCATGTTCTGATCTGTCAGATCTTTTTTGTTTTCATATTACCAATGGATTTAAGGCACTTTAAGGCAAAGATCGTCTGCAGTAGATGGTCTTATAAGTTTCATATGTATTCCGATCACAACTCACAGATACCAATGTCCTTATAGAGAGCACGCGGCAAAGAGCGTACAGTCTAGTGGCCCAGTCCTACACGTCCATCGCAGCAGAAGATTTGGCTGCCTTTGTTGGGTACTCTGTAGAGGAGGCTGTGAAGGGTAAGACTATACAAGCATGGGTTCTACAAGTGCGATTAATGAAACGATTGCTCATTATGTTGCCTTTTATGCCTGCATTGCTATTTCCAAAGGTGTGGTGAGCCAAGGCTGGCAGGCAGATCCAGCTACGAGGATGGTGATGCCTAAAAAGCCAGGTAGGTGGCAGTGTTACCACATCAAATTTCACTCAAGTGTGCTGCTTCTATGTTCACATTTTTTTACGTAGAGGTGTGCTTCCAGCAATTTTTTTTCAGTGATATTGTTTTAATTACAGCAACTGAGTCAGTCATCACATGTACTTTTCTCTAACTTATACGAAATGTTAACATTTTTCAATACTTTCCCAAAAAAATATTTTTTTCCCCTTAATCAATAACACTCCCTCGTCTTTGATGCATCCTCTTGATAAAGGATATGTTTAGGACTTTTAGAACCAGTGCTAATATACAAGCATGGAGAAAGAGATCCTTTTCTCAGACTTACTGAAGCATCTGCTGCACACATGTCCACAGCACACAGTAAATCCTTGATGATTTGCCTCTTGTGTGACTCAACTCTACCACTATAAAATAACGGCGTGGGGGGAATTTGGTCCTAGTTCATACAGTTCAGGATTAAAATGATGTGTTTTCATTATCCTTCCAGCAGATTATCTCTCAGGGAAATGTGGGCACTTTGCAGGTAATGCTGGCAAAAAGGTTGAGGGATTTATTTACGTCGGACAAATTTATCTAGTATGTTACTCTTGAATCATGAGCACGGCTGAAACACTGAGAGATGGAACTAAAAGGTTACTGCCAAATTTAAAACTGGTCTGACTCATCTTCTCCTACTCCCTGTTTCTCTCATCTCTTCTCTTAACAGATCCTCCCCCCGTCTCTTTGGTTCCAAATGAGCAGCAGCTGGCCAGACTTACTGACTATGTAGCATTCCTTGAGAACTGATAACCCACAATAACGTCTGCCAACCATTTGACCGACCAGTTTGGCTCCAACCGAAGAACAAGTTTGAAACAAATCTTCATCCATGGTGTAAAGTTGTGGTTCCTCAGTAAAGATGCACCAAATTGCAGCTTGCATGAATGCCTCTGGCCTATGGACTCATCTTCAAAATATGGCCATAATCCTATCTTGTTCTTTTAATTCTTACATTGAAAATTGCAACAACTCAGATTTCAACGTTTTGTATTAATTTTTGTTTTCTTACTATTAGCAAACCTGCCTGATGCATTTTGGTCAGACTGATCATTGTTTTTATCCGACCCAATAAACGCTCTCCTTACAGATGTCATGACACCCAACACGTGCAGTAGACTGTTCAGTTTTAGCACTTGAAGGTTGTTTTGAAATATGCATTTATTAAGACGGCTTTAGAAAGCTGACTAAATGTGTTTCTGTGTAGAATGAATAATTTGAATTGGTAGAGAAGAGTTAAAGAGTTTAGTTTTACGGAAAGTAATGCTTGTGTAGAACTGTAATATAAACCATATAAAGTATATTTGTGTGGGTATTGTGTTAGCATTGCTGAGTAAACGATTTGGATTATGCCACGTATTCATCTCTACAACATAAAACATTTGTTTTATTCCCCATAAAGCCGTCTTAGATACGTGGCAGATCTGTCTCTGTAACTACATCTCTGTAGCTTTAAAGGGCGTTGTTGCCATTTGGTGGGGGTTGGTATGAAATCCAATTAGATCACTGTCTCCATACTTGAGGTTCTCAGTGGGTTCAGCATGATTTGATTTAATTTGCAAAAATCAATAATTATAGATGACAGCAAAACGAAAACCTCAGTTTGAATGCAGTTGTTTAGTTTTTTACTCCGGATGTTCATTTTATATCAGCATAAATTTAGTAAGTAAGCATGTCAAATCTAAGAAGTATATTTCTTTACATAAATTTCCTCACAAGTTCAATTCATCAACTTGCTGGATAACGTATCTGATTCTGCAAATGTAAACGTAAACGTGCCCATGTCTAAACAAATTTGAATTGGTGTTGATGTAATGACTGCAGCATCAGTCAAGAAAAAACTAACATCTCACTGTTACGTCATGATTGTGAGTGAAATCCCCAAATGGTTCAAACTCAACAATTTATCTTGAGTTGTAATGAAATGCCCTGGCAACCACCACAAGGAAGCTGTAACTTCACCAAGATGGGGAAGCCCTTCAACGGGAAGGGCAAGTTCACATCAGGGGTCCTTTGAGCTGTAGTCGATTTGATTGTGCAGAGTAGTGCAAATATGTTTTATTTAGTATTTTTTGGTTTTCACTATCGAGACCAGATGTTCAGTACTGGTTCATCTACAGTGATTGTGAGACAAGGTGAAATGGGTCAACCATAATCCACAGAAATGGAATAACCAGTTGATTTAATTTTTAATTATTGATATGTCTTTTTTTGCATAAGGTTAAAAACAACCATGTGACCTCAACTCTTTCTTTGAGTCTATTTGCTTATATGCTCTCAAACAGGCAGGGGATCTGTTGGTGAGGTTATTTTCTGCACCAATTAATTTTGCAATTGGTAACTATTGATGCAACTAAAGATTACATATAATAGTAACTTGCCAGACTTCTTAGGTCTTGGCTTACAACAATTAGCTAATACTCAAATCATACACTGTGTTGGTAGATGTGGTAACCAAACCAACTTCTTCTTGTTCTTTATCACCAGTACTACCCTGAAAGCACACGTTTGTTTTCTATTACTGAAACAATGCTGATTGCCAAAGTGAACCAATGCAACAGGGAAAATTAGAGATTGCAAAGTGCCACAAGTCCTGTATAAGTTCATCTTTACAATTAACGCCTTGTTTTGGGATAGATGAGAGATTGGCTCAGTGAAAGGAAATCTTCACCAACAGATGGTGTGATTTTAAAATCTGCCAATGGTTGTCTATCAAGACATACAGTGTTTGGCATTGCCAGTTGTATTTTTTCATCACATTGACACATTCATCTGAGTATTTGTTAAAATGACAAATGCACTTTTTCTTTTTTTCTTACGATCTTTTTCTTTACTTGAGCGTGTGCGGGGTTCTTGACGGGGTATTTGAAAATGTAATCAACAGCAGTAAAAGCTCCTCCACACTCACACAAAAACATGTCATAAGCATGAGACCAAGACTCCAAGGTGTGGGAGACAGAAATTAAGAGAGAGCTGGGAAGAAGAGGGGGATCGGGAAAGACAGAGGAGAGACAGCAGCCGGGGGGCCTCAGTAAAATTAAGTGTGGAGAGAGAAAGAGAAAAACAAAGGTGTTTCAGAATGGCTGCCAAATGGTCAAAGAAAGATTGAAACCTGAAAGTGACTGCAATAAAAGTGTTTTCCACTGTTCATTTAGGTCAGGAAGTTTTCAGACATTACAGTATGGTTAATCTATGCAACAAATCATGCAAACTAAGAATGTATGAACACGTGGCGTCCTTTCAACATAAACCACAGTTTGCCACATTCATAAGGATTCTGCAGCATTAAGAGTAGATGTTTACAAGATCTGGCGGACATTATAAAAATACGGTGCCTGAAAAAATAACCTTAGAAAAAGTCTGAAGATCAACAGAATACATTAAATGCATTCTTATGTAGAAAGAATTTGAGATACACTGGGCCCTCACTAAAAGCAAAGTAAGCAGTTTGGAAAATATTTCAATCAGGATTGGCCTTTTAACATTTGGACAAGTTGAACCGACCCCTAAACAAGGTGATATTGTTTCGAATAAAAACTTTTTTCAAAATCTGCATTTGAAATATTTTCCTACAAGTAAGTTTGGGTTTAAGGCTTCTAAAAACCTAGAAACAGTGATAGCCAGCAAACCTTCCAAGCAAACTTTATATCTTGGGGTGAGTGGTGGTTATTGATAACTGTAACAGTGTATATGAATATTTTTATGCTCCCGTGCACTTCAAGGCTTTTTTTTCACTCTTTGTGTGAATTATCTTGATGTTAGAGTTATGGTTTTCTCTACAACGCTTGGGAACATGATGTCACATCTGATCTCCTAAGCCATTGAAATATGGTCCACTGGGAAAGTTATGCAGTGCGTGCCACCTGTCATGTTCTGGATTGGCTGTGGGCATGTGTGGAATTTTTTGTTGCAGGCTGGGTGAGCAGGTTTCCTTGGATACCAGAGGGGAATCTGGTTGTTGCTTGCTGTCACACCTGTTCACCATCTGCAGTCATTAAGATGCACTTTTAAGGCACAGCAGTCCTCACTGGATTGTAATGCAATATATGGTGGTAATCAGGCTGAGCTGTGTTTTTCTAGGAGTTTGATCTTTGCTGTTTGTGTCACTTACTGTCTTCACCTCCTTTTTTCAGTGACTGAATCTCTCTGATCCTTGGTTTACTGGTTTCCATACCTGACCAAGCTAAATGCATACACTGGACTCTTCTTCTGGGTAACCACTGCTTCATATTGTTTAATATAGTGATCTTTTCAAATCCTTCTGGAGTTGGGCTTTCCAATCTCCGGGGCTGAAGTCACTGAGGTATCCAAAAAGCTCAGCAGTGGCAAGGCTCCAGGGATGGATGAGATTCGGCTGGAGTTCTTCAAGGCTCTTGATGTTGTGGGGCTGCATTGGCTAACGCGACTGCAACATCGCGTGGCCATCAGGGGCAGTTATGCTGGATTGGCAGACTGGGGTGGTGGTCCCCCTATTTAAAAAGGGGGACCGAAGGGTGTGTTCCAACCATATGGGGGATCGTGCTGTTAAGCCTCACTGGGAAGGTCTATTCAGCGGTTCTGGAGAGGAGGGTCCGTCGGATTGTCAAATCTCGGATCCAGGAGGAAGAGTGTGGTTTTCATCCTCCGTTCCCACCCTCATCTATGGTCACGAACTTTGGGTAGTGACCGAAAGAACAAGATCCCGGATACAAGCAGCCAAAATGAGTTTCCTCCGTAGGGTGGCTGGGCTCTCCCTTAGAGATAGGGTGAGATGCTAGGCCATTCGGGAGGGGCTCGGAGTAGTGCCGCTGCAACTCCACATTGAGAGGAGCCAGTTGAGGTGGCTCAGGCATCTTATAAGGATGCCTCCTGGTCGCCTCCCTGGTGAGGTGTTCCGGGCACGTCCGACCGGGAGGAGGCCCAGAGGAAGAACCAGGACACGCTGGAGGGACTATGTGTCCCGGCTGGCCTGGGAACGCCTCTGGTCCCCCCGGAGGAGCTGGCAGAAGTGGCGGGGGAGAGGGAAGTCTGGGTTTCCCTGCTTGGCTGCTGCCCCCCAGATCTGACCCCGGATAAACGGTGGAAAATGGATGGATGGATGGATGGATCTTTTCAAATCAGTTAAAGAGGGCCCTTGGGAATCCTCATGCTACCAAGCACTTACTAATTTGTTAGATCCGAAACCAGGGGGCTCCCCTCTTCTACGAGCCCACTGGACATTCATTATTCCTAAAAATATGTTTTGATCTCTAGCTACTGAGTATTTCCCTTGTTCTTGCTTTGCACTGTGGCACTACCAAGGAGGGGCCAGTGTGAACCTCACTGGATTGATTGAATAATCCATGCTGTCATTGGTTCCCACAATCCAAGACTATGGTTGAATCAGTCCTTCTGCCCTCAAGTTGTTTATTTGGTACAACCTATTTTATTAAAACACACTGACAATGAGCAGATATACACTTTCTGTCCCCAAAAAATTGTTCAGACAGTGGTGCACAAAACAATATTTTTGGGTACAGTGTGGCACAATGGAATGTACCTCTGTAATCCAGTGGATTTTCTGTTGCTTTGTCACTAACCAGTTCAGTATGTCACAGTGTGGGGAAAACCAATGTGAGGAAAGAACAGAAAGCACCCACAATTTTAAATAGTATCTTATTAACACTGGACCTAAAAAGCAACAAACACAAACAGTTTTCTGTGCATGGTTGTGGCTCTTGCAGCAGCGCTATATTACGTGTGTGTGTGTATGTGTGTGCATGTGTGTGCGTGTGATAGAGAGAGGGAGAGAGAGAGAGAGAGAGAGAGAGAGAGAGAGACTGAGAGGGTGTTAGTGAGTTTTAGTGGTGTGCTTGAGAGGAAACATAGATTTTGTCCTTCGTGGCACCTAATAGTTTTTCATTCTGTTTTCTTACATCTTTGAGGCCTTTAATGTCAGAGAGACATGTCATGGAGTCATGTTCTGCATTCACCATTGCAGAAATGTCCAGGACTCATACTGATGTAATGGCCTGGAAAGTTGTTGGTGATGCAACAGAGTGGCTATTTATAATTAAAGAGACAATGGAGACTATGGAAGAGGGAAAGGATAGTTCCTGTTGTTTTTTTGGTGTGTCTCATGAGCAACAGATACTTTAGCAGGAATGAATTCGGAGCCATTCTGCACAATGCTGAACTCATTAAAGCCTCTGACTTTTATGACTCTTGTGGAAATAAACAGAGCCAGCAGTATGAGTCATACAGGGAAGCATGTGTGCTGCTGCAGAAGTAAAGAAAAGGAAAAAGAAGACCTCCCCACCAGCAATGCATCAGAGTTTTGAAGTTTAACCTTGCCAGATATATCAAGTGAAAAGTAATTAACTCTAAACCCAAACAAACTACAAATATCAACTATCATCAATAGGATAGCTTTGTCACATGGACCTTTTAAAATGACCATTTGCTTGGTTTACTTTCAACATAAAATCACACTTTAAAGGAGACATATTATACCCATCCATCCATTATCAATACCGCTTATTCCCTGATAGGGTCGCGGGGGGAACTGGAGCCTATCCCAGTGGTCAACGGGCGAGAGGCAGGGTACACCCTGGACAGTCCGCCAGTCCATCGCAGGGCCACACAGAGACACACAAGGACAAACAACCACTCACACTCACATTCACTCCTAAGGGCAATTTCCCCAATCTCCAATCAGCCTAACATGCAGGTTTTTGGACGGTGGGAGGAAGCCGGAGAACCCGGAGAGAACCCACGCAGACACCGGGAGAACATGCAAACTCCATCCAGAAAGGCCCTGGTTCCCCCGGGATTCGAACCCACAACCTTCTTGCTGGGAGGGGTACAGTGCTAACCACCACACCACCGTGCCGCCCTATATTATACCCTATTTCAACAAATTAAACTAGTTCCCTGGTGTCCTAATGTAATGTCTGTGACAAGCTTTGGTAAAAATACCATAAGGATGAAGCACAATAGCAGTTCAATCACCCTGCCAAAAACAGCCCCGTTCAGAGCGATCGGTTTTGAGTGCCTGTCTCTTTAAATGCAAATGAGACTCAGGCAATCCACCCACTTCTTCCGGGAGGTGTGCCGAAGTCGGCACGCTAACGCTACCATGCTCATGCTGATGCTCACGTTACCACAACGTCTGCCACAGATAGGCGGAATGAGCTGAGGTGGGTGGCAACATGCAGGTGAAAGGCTGGAATATTATAATGAGCTAGAGCTAATAACGTCATAAACTACTGATTCCTGAAACCCTCTGATTTATCTCCTGTATTGAGACTGAGGCAGCCCACAAAAATATGACTGAGTCATTTTTTTTCACACTTTGCCTGCTGATAGGCCCTCTACAGTCCCAAAAGTACATAATTAAATAATTAAAAACTTGGTTTTGCATAATATGTCCCCTTTAATCTCAAAATTATTATTTGACTGAATTAATAAATGATAAGCATTGGTTTACAATGATTTCAAGAATGTATACAATACCAATACCAATTCAACTCCTTGGCCTTTGGTCGGGAGCAGAGCCTTTCATTTAAATGAAATGTGGATTTAAAAAAAAGTAACTCAGGGTAACTTTAACTGTGGCCCTTGGATGTCTGCAATTTAACGTCACCTATAGGAATACATTGTAAGATCTAAAAGAAAAAGACATTATAATTATTTTGAAACTGTCATATTTTAAAATATGAATATTTTTGAAGAATTTAAACTTTTTTAAACAGCTGAGTACCTCCAGACCCATTCAAAAGTTGAATGGTGTCTTAAGCTGAAAGTATGCTGAGCTAAAAGAAGTCAAAGCTTTCGAATTTT